ATATTAATAATAATAATTTTAATAATACTTTAAATATTTTAAAATAATAATATTTATTATATTTGTTTTCTTTTTCTATAGTATTATATAAATATTTTATTTATATTTTTATAATATTTTTTTTAATTCTTTATATTAAAAAAAAAATATAATCTGATATATTTTATCAGAATCATATAAATTATAAATAACATTTATAAATAATTAATTTATAATACATAATAATTTATACGAAAATATTAATAAACAAAAACTTTTTAATATAAATATATTATATATAAAATTATATATTTTATTTTATTAACTCTATTTTTACAAATAAATTTTATTTTTTATATTTTTTTAATTAGGTTATATTCCTATTCTATAAATAATTTCTTTTAATAATATTAAATTAAAAAATCATTATTTCTATTAATTAATCATTTTTTTGTTTTCTATGTCTTTCATTTTAATATTCGGATTAAAGCTTCTTTTCCATTTTTAAGGATGTACGAATTACCATTTTTATATTATATATAAATAAAAGCTAATATAAAATACTGAATATATGCATATAAAAGATATTAATCCAATATAAACATTGCTAATTTATAAATGATTTTAATTTTTAAAATTAATAGTATGTTTAACTATACCATAAATTTTCAAAATAATGTTTACTAAAAATAAAAAACTTGACGTTTTTAAACATTTATCATTTCTTAAAATTAATCCAAAACATGATAAAATCCATGAAATTAAAAATAATCCATCAGAAACTATATATGCTATTAAATATTCATTATTACTTTTATCTATAATATCTTTATATAATTTAGCATAAAATAAAAATAAGTAAAATATCACTATACATGAGCCCAAAAGCTTCGTTAATAAAATTAATTTAACTAATTAAACTAGTTTAAATTTTTTTAATTTCCTTTATTTTTTTTATTAAGGAGTTTCTTTTTTTTATTAATCATTCGATATATCTTCAGTAGTTAATTCTGATTTTTCTAAATTTTATTCAACCATTTGTTTTGTCATTTTTTTAATATAATATTTTTTTATTATTATAATTAATAAAATATTAATTATTACTAAAATTTAAATAAATATGAAAAAAAAAAATTAATTATGTAATTTAAAGATTTTTTTATATTTTTAGTTTTTTAGTTATCACAAAACTGGGAAAATATATATATATATATATATATATATATATATATATATATATATATTATATATTTAATTTTTATATAGACAAAATTTTTAAGAATAACAAAATTCTTATTTAAAATATTTAGTTTTAAAAAAATTATTTAAATTTGTTTTCTTATTTATATATATATCATAATTTGTTATTATAAATAATCAATTTTTAAATATTTATATTTTTTGTTTCATTAGAATAACTAAACTTTTTTATTATATTAATATTTTTGTATTTTGTTTATGGTTACATATCAAAAATATAATTTTAATTAAAAATATATATTTATATTTTTTAAATATTGAATTAACATTTTTTTTTTTTTAATAAAAAATAAAAATTATTTATACATTTGTTAAAATTAAAGTAGAATAAAAATTTAACGACTTATATTATTAATTAATAAAAATATCAAAATTATTACGGCTATATTGATTTGTTAAATATCTAAAACTTACTATTACAAAATGTGTTTTAATTAATTTTTAAAAGATCATTTAATATTAATTATAATTAACTAAAACTTGAAATAGATAGACGTTTAATATTAATGACATTATTTAAAATGTTTTTTATTTTAAATAATAATAAAAATATCTATATAAACAATTTTATTAAAAAAATTATATTAGTAAGAATTTTTATTATTTTTAATATTTGTATTTTAATTTGATTAAATTCAAATTCTTTTTATTTAAATATTTAAATTTAAAAGTTTATAAAATAAATAATAATACAAAATAAAAAAAATATTTTTATTAAAATATATTTTTTATAAAAAAATTAATATAAATATATGATTATAAAAAAAAATTCTCATATAAAAAGTCTATTGATATGAAAATGTTAAATATCATTACTTTTTCTATAGGAAAAATTATATTATTCAAGTAGTAAATATCCACATAAAAAGATTCCAAGCCTCATTCCCAAAGATAAAGATAGAGCACCTATACATTTAAAATGTTATCTTGTGTATAAAAATATTAAATGAATACAAATAGCATAAATAAATATAATAAAACTATATTCCCATTTATTAAAAGTATAAAAAACAATAACTAAATTCATAAGTGCGTAAAATAGAGCACAAAGTAACTAATAAAAAAACTAATTGGATAAACTTTTAGTCAAAAAAACTCTCCAAAAAGCCTCTTCAGTAAAAGGCAGAACGATACAAAAAAGAATAGAAAATAAAATAATGAAAGAAACATTTTAATTTTCTAAAGGAATTCTTATTTCTTAGATATCTGATTTTATAAGCAAATATGATAAAATAAAATGAAACAAAAAGCTTATTATAAATAAAATTATTATTTTCAATATTTATTGTCTTCTTATGTTGAATTCACCTGCAATATAATATAAATATGTATGATTATTTGGCAATACACAAAGTATAAATAATAATGGAATTATTGTCAAATTTAAAAATATATACATTATTAAATCTAATAAACCTGAATTCAAAAATATCAAGAATATTATATGGGTTATTGTTGGGAGACACATAGCAAATATAACGAATGTTTATATTCTTTTGACTCGCCTATTAAAGGGATATCATCTTATATATTTATATCCATATTTTTATTTTTACTTTTTTATTTATATTTGTTTTTATTTTATTAAGGTAACAAAAATAAAGTAATTTTTTTATTTGTAAAATATTTGATTTTTTATTAAATTTATTTATTATTCTATATTTGGCATAATTTAAATTATTTTGTTTTACTTTTTAATTAAATAAAAAATTAAAAATATGCATAAATAAATATGTAAATAAAAATTTTAATAATAACTTTAATAATATTAATGATAAATACCTTTAATTGTCTTTTAATATACCAAAATGGAAATATTAAATAAAAGAAACATTAAAATACATATAGGTAATATTAAATAAAGGCCATATGCATTTATTACAAAAATAAGGACTATTATATATACAAATGAATATTTTATACCCATTTTATAATAAAGAGTAATTAAAAAATAATTAATTTGTAATTTTACAGTTAAATACTTTTTAGGAAGCATAAAATTCATAAACTTAAAATAATTATTTATACTATAACGAAGTAGATATTGAAAATATATATTCTTCCGTACAAAATTTATTTTTTGATATAAAATAAGTTAAAGGCGAAAATTTTAGTTTATTAATTTATAATTTTACTAAGTGTGAAATTTAATATAGTTTTAAATGTTTATTTAAAAAATTATCCAAACAATTTTTTTTTTTTTAAGTTGTAATTTTTTCTAACTCACAAAAAGAAATAATGTGAAAAAGGCATTTTTGGTAAAAATTGTAAAATAAAGGATTTTAAATAAAAGAAGGAGAAAACTGAATTTAAATAAAAAACAAACCAGATTTTTATTATTATTAGATAAACTAATACGAATCGATAAAATTTTAAATTAATCTTGGACATTTTTTCAATATGATTAATATTAAATTAATAGACATTTTATTGTCTGATGGATAAAATTTTTATATAATTAATAATTTTTTAGAAAGAAAAGAATAAAATTATACATAAACTATAAATATAAAGAAAAGTCTTTTTAAAAACACTTTTTTCAAGAAATAAAAATGTTTTATTTTTTTAGTATTATATACACCAAATTTTATAAAAGGATAAATATCGATAAAAAAACACACTTTTCGAATTATTAAAATTAGCGAAAATTATAAAAAGTATAAACAAACATAAAATAATCTAATAAACAATAGGAAAATAGAGAAAATTAAAACTCCTTATCTTAATTTTATATAGTTTTAATATCTTTTTTTTCTTTTTTTTTTCTATTTATAATTTTTATTTTCTTATTGTATCTAAAATAAAGATTATCCAAAAAAAAACTGATTCCTACCTAAAAAGCCTTTTAAGAAAAACGCAAAAATAAACTAAATTAGTTTTTTTTAAATTTTAATTAAGAATTTCCTTCTTAAAAAAATTCTTAATAAGACCCTTCTTAAAATGCCTAAAATAAATGTATTTTTTCACAAAATAAGCTGCTTCAATATAAAGAATAATATTAAAAAATTCAATTTATAGTTAACCCTTCTATAAATGAAGAATAGCAATTAGAAAAATGTAAAAATTAAAATTTTTTTACTTCATAAAATAGGCCTTTACACGAAATATTAGAAAAAGAAGAAAATCAATAAAGCAAAGATATTTTCATTTAAAATATTACTAAAAAATTCTCTTATAGTAAAGATTAAAATTCAATTTTTCTCACTAATAGTGCCCAATTAATAAAGCCTATTATAAAAAGAAGTTCTTAGATTATTTTTGAACAAAACGAATAAGAAGAAAACGAAAGTTTCCAATAAAAAAGTCTAAAATAATAATAATTTAAAGACAGATTTTAAATAAAATGTAAATTAATTGAAGATTTTTTGCTAAAAAATTAACCTGATACATCTCATATTACATAAAAAGAAAAACCGAAATAAAGGACCAAAAAATATGGAAATTAATTGATTACTTCTTCATTATAAGCAAGTAGATAAGTCTAATAAGATTTATAATTAAAAGATTCATTGCTTATTCCAAATACAGAAAGCTAGCTTTTATAAAAAAATAACAATAATAAACAGCTTTTTATAAATAATTTACATGGTAGTACTTAAATTTAATAAGATATTAAATCAAAATTAAATATTATTCAATAAAAAAGACTGTCTATATATAGCTAAGAATAATTGCTTAATTAATAATAAATATCACTTTTTTAGTAATAAATTCCTAACTAGTAATAAAACTAATTTGAAGAATAAAATATATTAGAATAAAAATTATAAAAAAATAAAATTGATTAGGAATCTTAAATTGATTATTGTCAATAACAAAGTGAAGATCAGTAAGTTTAAATAAAATAAGATTAAATTACAGGATAACCAGAATAAATTTATTAATAATAAATAAAAAAAGTTAATATTATTGACTTTAATCAATATAATTTAGATACTACTTTAAAAAATTCTTTAAATTATATTTCTAAAACTCCTAAAGAGTTTTTTAATTAAAAAAAGGAAGTATTTAATGATTATATAAAAGAAGAAGATGAATTAAATACTGATAAAGATTTAAATTATAAAAATTCGAATTAACTTGAAAATACATAATAATTTACTAAACCTTGTATAGTGATACATAATATAAACTAGTGATATTAATATTTATATAGTTTGAATATTCTATATTTTTATTTAGTATTAAATTGTTTATTTTTTAATATAAAATTGTACATTTTAAAAAAATAATTAGTGTTATTTATAATTTGTATTTTCCAATTATAATTATACAAATATATAATTAAATATATACAAATATATATATATATATATATATATAAATAATATATATTTATATATATATATATATATGTTTATATTAACTAAATCATTATTTAATTAAAATTCAAATAAATTTTACTTTAAATAAAAATTAACAGCTATAAAAATAATTATAAATATAAATAAATAAATAAAAACATAAAATATTTAAAATATAAGAACATTAAATACATGAATTTTTAAACGTTTATAAATTAATTAATTCCAAAATAAGAATCGAAAAATAATAAATTTTGTAATATTCATTTTTCATAAAGAACTAATAATAATTAAAATAAAATTATAAAAATCATTCCAAAAGCAAATTCGTATGAATTAAAAAAAGATAAAGCCATAAAAACTTACAATAATGATGAAAATAATAATTTATAATTAATAAAATTACAAAATTGTAATATAAAACTAGATAAAATATTAAATTTAATATAAAATTAAAAGGATCAATTATCTTCTAAATTTAAAGAAAAAATAAATGACAAACCAATTTTTCTAATAAATAATATTACAAAGAATATTTAAAAAGAAAAACTAGAAGAAAACTATATTTCAGTTCCTTTAAAAAAAACATAAAAAAGTCCTTCTGCCTAAAACAATTTACATATTATGTTTTAGAAATATTTCTAAAAAAGGAAAATCTAAATTTAATCTTAACATATATTTGAAACTATTAGAAATAATGATTCGAATAGGGTTAATTAAAAAAATAGTTAATGTTTAAATAAAAAAGTACGAATTAAGTAAAACATTTATAGTTTATTAAATAAGAAAGATTATTTAATTATTGGAAAATAAAATAAAAAGGAAAAACTAAATACTTCAAAAATTTTTTTAAATAATGATTAATAAAAAAATTAAAAAGTAAAAATTTAATAAAATTAATCGAGTTTTTTAAATAAAAATAACCATTTCATAGTTTTAAATTAAAATCATTATGAAAATTTAATATTAAAAAATAAAAAAAACCATAAACATTTTATTGAAAATAAAGGATGGGAAACTGAATAAATAAATGATTATGAAGATCTTAATTATTATAATAATATTAAATTCAAATAATGAAACATTCAAATTTTATAATATTTATTATAAAATTATATAATTTTAATAAGAATATAATAATAATTATCATATAATTAATTCTATTATTTTCTTATTTTCAAGTTCTAAAAAATTATAGTAAATAATTAGATAAAATTATAAACTATAAAAATAATTTTTAAAGTAATAAATTAATAAAAGTATTATAAATTATTTAACAAAAATTTAATATTAATTTTTTTATTATTATTAAAAAAAAGTATAAAAAATACACATTATTTAAAATTGTATTATAATAAATATATTAAAACACTTAAATTAATAAACAAAAATAAAAATTATAATTATTATAAAAAAATAAAATAAATATTATATAAATAACAATAAATATTCATTTAGGTGGTTTTGGTGCACTTTTTTTTATATTTTTAAGTTCTCCATCTTCCCATTTAGCTCTTTATTCTAATGGTAAATCTTTTCCAAAACCTACAAAAATAAAATATTAAAAATATATAAAAAAACTAATAAAAAAATATGTATATATTAATAAATTATTACTCATATATCTAAAAGTTTTCCCTGAACTACTAAAGCATTATCCATTATAAGAAATTTCAATTCCAATATCGAAAATCCCTTAAGGAACTTAATCTAATTCCGGAATAATAACTCCGATTTTCTACGAATTTTTATAAACTCCTTTAACAACTGTAGCTTAATTATTATAAATAAACTAAATAAGCATATCAGGTGAATTAATAAGATCTTCGCCATAAATATATAAATATTATCCACTTTTTTTATAAAAGTATTACATTTCATAAATTTCAGTATCTAATATTTTATTTAATTCATCATTTTTTTCTTTATTTCAGCATCACTACTCAATCCTTTTAACGGATCAACTATTTCTTCTGCATTATTCCATTTAAGTTTAATAGCTTCCTCATTCATTCCTTTTTCCCATTCAGGTACAGGTCCTATTCGTGTAATTTAGGCTTCAGCATATAAAAAATTAGAAACTTTAATCCATTAAATAGAATTTAAAGTTAAAAATACTTAAATTTAACCATTTTACACTTATTTTATTAATTCAGGAGATGGATCTTGTCCTCCTAAAAGCCTATTATGATTTGTAAAAATATAAATAAATATATTTATATATTTATACAATATAAATAAATAAAAATATACCATGTAATTGGAGGAACTATAAATGAAAAAGTTCTTTCTTTTTTATCCCAATTTATATCAATAAGTCTTTCTCCGTAAATACTTTTAAACATAATTTTTTTTGTTAAAGTGTCAAAAAATCCTTCTCCCATTAATTTACTAGTAGCTCCTCCACTTAAAGCATCATTATTTGGTTCCAATTTATGTATTTAAATATCATAAAACCTAAAAGAAGATGGCTAACCTGTGAATTATTGACCATTTAAAGATACATCGACATTAAAATTTAATGATTCAGAATTATAATCTGCTAATTTAGGAACTTCGCACGTTATTTTTCCTTTATCGTATTCTCCTTATACACATACCCAATTTTCTTTTTCTAATTCCGGATCTGAAATATCAAGATCTAATGGATTTATTATTTTCTAATTTACATTTTATGGATTTCCACTATTTATGCGTGCATTTTATTATGAATCATTAATTAATTCCTTATTTATATATTTATAAATATATTTTTTTTTTTAAAAAAAAAAAAAAAACTTATAAAGAATTTTTTTTATTTTTTGTAGAATTTTATTAAATATTAATAGTATCTTTTCTTAATCTCTACTAGAATCCAACAGTTAAATATTTTAAATAAGAAGCTGTTAAATCATCAATATTAATATTCAAAGCAAGTAAAGTTCCTCCTTCAACACTAGCACATTTCGGTTCTATAGAAGTCATTTATATTTTCGAAGAATAAATAAGGAAACTTTCTTCACATTCAGTATATATTTTTCCATCTAAAGTAACTTCTAATTAAGATATTAATGGCCATTAAATTACTTCTTCACTTATATCATCGAATTTAGGTGTTTAACAGTAAAAACTTTCCGTTTAATGATCATAATTTAAAGCAATTTCGATTTTATAGTTCTTAAATTAAAAACGAAGTCCTTATTTTCCTGTTTCGGTAAAACCCGTGCCTAATAATGATATTAAAGTTCCACCACATGAAGGTCCATAATTGGGTCTTACAGACATTATTCTCATTGCTTTTTTTTTTTTTTTTTCTTTTACATAATAAATGTATAATTTTTACGAGCAAAAAATACTGCCGAATTACTAGTTGCATGTATTTCACTAAATTTTCTATTTTATGTATTCTAAGTTATTTTTCTAGGCAAATCTTAAAAATGATTCTAATTTATACAAATATAGTTATATATTTTAATATTTATTATATTACGTTTTTATGTCCTAAATTACCTCCTCCCCAACTCCATAATTAACCATTAATATCAATTGCGAAAGTATTATTATAACCACATTAAACAGTTTTAAATAAAGGTATATTATTCCCTAAAATATCTTTAACAACTTTTTAAGGGAAATAGCTTGATTTAATGCTTCCGTGTCCTAATTATCCATTAAAATTTAAACCCCAAGTATATAATTCTCCGCTTTCGAGTACTGCTGCTGAATGTCCATATCCTCCACTTACGCAAATAACTTTATATTTTATTTTAATTTACATTCAAAATAATTAATTCTAATTAAATTACTTTTATCTTCTAAAATATTTTCTTCCTTTAAATTATTTCCAAAGTTAACAATTTTAGGATATTTCTCACTTTTAGATTTCCCATTTCCTGTTTATCCTAACCTTGCCTCTCCCCAAGCATATAAAATCCCATCATCACTAATTGCAAGAGAATGATAAGCCCCACAAGCAATATATTTGACAATTTTTTTCTAATCTTTCTTATTCTCATAGTCATATTTTTAATAAAAAATACTCACATAACAAGGAAAAGAAGCACAATCTTTACCTGTCCCTAATTATCCTTCAAATCCTCTTCCCCAACTATATAAATCATAAGTATCTATATGTATATTAAATTACCACATTCAATATTTATATATATATACCTGTTAGTGCTAATGTATGAAATTCGCCGCATGTAATTTATATAATTTTTTTTTAATTAAATTTTATTATGTTTTTAGGAATATCACTATAAATTAAACCCCCATGTCCTAAAGAACCATATTCTCCTATTCCATATGAATATATTTTACCCTCCTCTTTTATATATATATTTTTTTTCTTTTCTAAATAAATATTAAAATATTAATACCTGTTATAAATACGGTATGTTTTTTTCCACATACCATCTTTTTTATTTATCCTTTATCATTAAATGCTTAAAATATATCTTCTAAATTTTTCACACTTTTTGCTTCTTCGGCAAATGTTTAATCATAATCATCATATTCGGGAGCATGTAAACTACTCACTAAACCTTCGTTTGAATAGCTTTCTTCTATAATAAATAATTTCTTGTATCCTCCACAGGCATTTGTTATTAATCTACCACGAAAATGCTTTAAAGATTCTAAGGAACCATTTACTTCATCATTTGTTATAAATATTTCACCAAACTATGGTTTTTTCGATCTTGCATCTGATATCATATTTTATTATTCTTTAATTAATTTTTTTTTTTTTTTTTTTTAAAGAAGTTATTTTTTATTTTTAAATTATAATATAATTTTAATATTTTTAGAAAATATAACAAAAATAAAAACTAAAACAATAAAAAAAAATAAAAAAAGAGGAAAAAAAATATTAAATAAATATATTTAAAGTGCTTTTTTCTTTATAAACTATATATATAATTTAATAAATAAAAAAAAGGGGAAAAAAAAAAAATGTCCTTATTTTTTATGGCTAATACAGCCGTTTCAGTACCTCCAGTTTTAGATACAACACCATGTAAATAATAAAATAAATAAAGAAAAAATAAAAAAATAAAGAAAAATTATAAAAATAAAGGCATGAAACAAATGTTATAATATGAAGATTGTGTTTTTGAGTATTTATTTTAATGATAAAAATAATAAAAAATAAAATAATATAATAAAATTAATATATATAAAAAAAAATAATTTTTAGTGCTAATGTAGCTTAATAAGAATGCTTTCATCCTTAATGGCCTACAATTTGGCCTCGTCTTCTTACTGATGGTAAATTATTAGTAAATAAAATAATATATATTATATTTAAATAAACAATATTATTTGTAAATAGGAATTCGATAAAGTTCCTTTCTAACCTGAAACGTTTACAATTATACATAGAAATATATTTAATATTAATATATATGTATATTAAGGCAATTTTTATTTTAATCTGAAAAAAAAAAAAAAAAAATTATAAAAAATAATAATAGTCAAAGACCATTAACCAAAAAAAACAAATAATATTTATATGAATGCGAAGAAGAAAGATTTGTCTATAAAAGCTGTTTGAGATAAACTCTTGCTTTACAAAGAACAAGCAAACATACTTCTTGGGATACTGCAGAAGTAGCAAACTTATAGTTAGCATGAATTAATTTAAAAATAGTTAAACAAATATATATTTTATAAAAATAATAAAAATAAATAGAGCATATTTTTTATTAATTTAGATATTTTAAATTTATTTTTATTTTTTTATCTTTTAAAAAAATAAAATAAATAAAATACTTTAAAACTATTTTTTTTTGTTAAAAAATTAATATTTTTTTTGTGAATAAAAATTAAAAGGCAACATTTAATAATAAAAAAATAAAAAAAATATGAATATAATAATTTTATAATATAATATTAAATATTCAAATAAAAGCATTTATACTTAAAACTATCAAAATATGAATTGACCATAAATGAAAATAGTTTTAAATTAAATTTTTAATCAAGAAATATTAAATTCGAAATTTTAATAATACAATTCAATATATGATCCGAGCTTAAAACTATATTTCTAAAAGTTAAGTAAAATAAAAATAATTTTAGGATAAAAATAAAGTAAAAAATTCTTAAAATTAATATTTTTTTTTTTTAACAAAAAAAATTAAAAAATAGTTTATGGATAAATATTTATCAAAAGTAACTTAACAAATAAAAAAAGAATCAAATAAGAGTAATTTCTAATATAATTTAAAAATAATATAATGATTTAGTAAAAAGAATAAAAAAATAAAATGTTTATACAAATGAAAATTTTTATTCATATTTTCACAAAAAGCAATCAAAACTCAACTTAATCACTAATAAAAATATAAAAAAACTAATATCCTTTATAAAAAAATATAGATAAATTATTAAACTCGTTTATATAAAATAAAAATTTATTCTACATTATAAATTATTATTAATAATCTCACTAAAGAAAAATATAATAATAATCTACTTTACTAAAATTAAATTAATAGTCTTTAAAAATATCTGAAAAAGATATTTCGAATAATTTCTCATCTAAAAAAATATATGAAAGGGAGGGATTAACAAAAAATTAAAGAAAATATAATAATATTATATATATTTTCAAATTATAAAATTTGAGATAAAATTAAAAAAAAAAACATAAAAGGGTTCATTAATAAATTGAATAATAATAATACAATTAAAAATAAAATTAAGAATTTTTGTTAAAAACGAAAAAAATAAAAACTTTAATAAAAAACAAAGGAAAAAATAAGAAATATATAATAAGAATATGAATAATAATCTATCGAAAAATTAAATAATTAGGAATTAATAATAAAGAGTGATATTAATAAAATAATAAAATCGGAAGAATAAAATCAAGTTAAAAAATCTCATGAAAAAATTAAACCTGGATAGAATTAAAAAATAGCAAAATTAAAAAGAAAATAATAATAAAAATTTTTAAAAAATATATTATAAATGAATGCAAAGAAAATAGATAAAAAATGCAAACTAATAATATGAGAAAAATGAACAAAGTCAGAAAGATAAAAAAATTATGAAAATGAAAAAAACGAAGACAATCAAAAAAATGAGGCAAATGAAGAAGGAGAAAAAAACGACGGTTCATGTCAAATAAAAGATAATTAATTTATTAAAAATGATCTATAGTATTAAAATTTATAAAAAAATGAAAACAAAATTAATATGATTTTTTTTTATTAAAAAAATCAGATTAAAATTTTATTTTTAATTAATTTATATTTTTTGCTTTAATATTTTGAATTTTTATTATATCAAATTTATATTAAATAACATTTTTTATATATTTATACTAAATATATTGGATATATAAAAGTTATACATATAATAATTTAATATACAATAGTATTTTAATTTATTAATTTAAGATAAAAAAATTATTAAATAAATGATTAAAAAACATTTTAAATAAAAAAAGAGACATAAAAATATTTCATTTATATAAAATTAATATACTTTTATATAAATATTCAAAACACATTATATATTTTTTATCTTTATAAATATATTACAAAAAAATTAAATATAATTGATTTTTATATTTATATTTTTTATAAATATAAAATTATAAATATTATATTAAATTAAAAATATATAGGTTAAGATATGATATATAGTATTAATTATATTATTTAATTAATATATATATTATATTATATATATTTAAATTTCAATTAATTCATAATTAATAAAATAATATTTATAATATAATTATATATGTATAAATTAAAAACATATTTCATATATACATTAAAAACTTAACTTATAATAAAAATTTAAAAACTAAAAAATAATTTAAAAAAAATTATATAAACTTTATATTAATATAGAAATCTAAAAACAAATTAACATTTTTCTTATAATTAATTAATACAATTTTTTTTAAATTAACTTACTCAAACTATAAAATATTATTATAATTAAATATGAGCTTAACTTCCTTTCTTGATATACAATAATATTTAATTTCTTAATAAAATTATATTATAAATAATAAAGAACTTTTATTATAATTAATAAGCTATTTACAAAATTTATTTATAATAAATATTTGTTTAAATATTATTTTAATTTTATATTGTTAAATTAAGAATTATCATTAATAAAATGTCAATAAAAATATTATAAAAAGTATATTAATTTACTTTAATTAATAATTAATAAGTCAAAAAATATATTTAATATATTAGTTATGTAAAATTTTTATATATAAAACATTAGATATTTTATAATATATATAGATAATTTCTTATATAAATGTTTTTTTTAAAAAAGAAACGCATTATATCTTAAAATAAAAAGATATTAATAATAATTAATTTTTGATTTCAAAAGTATTTTGGTAAATTTTTTAAATATATAATAATTAATACACTTTTATATATTATCAAAAATAAAATGTTAATAAAAATTATTCTCATTTTGTTAAATCTACTTAAAATATTTAATATATGTAATATAAATGTGTGCAATTCAATTTTAAAAAAAATGATTAAAAGATATAAATATTATATAAGATATTAAATATTTTAAAAACTAATATTATAAAAAATTATAAATATATAAAAAAAAAGAATTTATAAGAATTTAATAAATAATAGATTATAATATTAAGATTAAATTAAAAGGGAATATATATTAAATATATTTTTGTCAAATTTTTTTATTAATTTTGTATATTAAAAAAAAAAAAAAATATTATAAATTATAAATTAAAATTTAAAAAAATATTAAAATAAATATATTTATTTAAGAAATAAAAATAATAAAATTATAATATATCTAAAGATAAATATAAAAAAAATATTATAATTCTAAAAACACTCTAATTATTATATTAAAGCAAATAAAATATATATGTATATATATATATATATATATATATATATATATATATTAATTAAGTTAATAATTTTTTTAAAAATCATTTTTTAACTAATATCAAATTATTATCTTAAAAACCTTATAATTTAATAATATTTAATAATATTAATTATTATTAATTAACTTTTTTTATTTTTATAAGTGATAGTTTATTCAGTTGAATTTCTGATAAAACCTTAATTTTATTTATGTTTTTTTTTAAAGCGATATATTTAAAATTTATTTTTTAATAATTATTATTATTTATGTTTTAATTCTTTATTTTATTTTAGTCATTTTTATTTTTCTTTAAATCAGTCTTATTATCATAATTTTTTTTTTTTATTAATACTCATTTGATTACTATTTATTTTTGTTTCTTTCTATCAATTTAACTAATTTAAATGTTTTATTATGAGTTAGTTGAATATTCATCCAGTCAAAATATTTTAATTGATTTTTTATTAATTAAAATTCTTATTCCCATAAGTTTTGAGTTTCTTAATTATCTTGGAAATTAATGACTAGAACTTCCTATTTTTGAATTTTAATATTAAATTATTATTTGTCAAAATTTTAAATATAGTTTTTTTTGGAAAATTCATTTATAATAAAATTTATGTTATTAAATTTTTTAAAAATAAAATATAATTTATTTATAATAAAGAAGAAATTAATAGGACTAGAATTTAGACTATAATATCCTATAATTTAATTCTACATATATATTTAGAATTTATTTATTTTTTTAAGAGTTTTCAATTATTTTTAATCTTTATTTATATAAAAATACTAACTTAGATTTATTTACAAAAAAAAATAAAAAAAAAATATCTTTTTATTGAATACTTATTTTATTTTTATATTAAAATACTTTAAAATAAAAATAAAAAAATTATAATTTTCATCTTTAAGAAGAAATGAAAATATTTTTAAAAGCAATAATAAGAAGAGCTAAAATAATAATAGTTTTATAATTTAAATACTAAGCTTATTCATTAAAAATTCCTAAAACAATTTCTAATGCTACTTTAACGTATTATATCTATTTTTCTGGCTCTATTTACATACATAAATTCCAATCTTTACAATTTTATTTCCATTTTTCATTAAATTATTAATTTTTCAGTTTATCTTCACATTTATTATTTTCGAATTTAATTACACATTGTAATTATTCTTCTTTAAGTTATTTTAATAAAATTTCTGATTTGTTATTAAAATCACAAATAAAAAGGTATAAAAACATTATAAACATTATAAATATAATTATATATTTGAAAAAACTCCCATTTATTTGATAATTGTTATTATGTTAATTATTTTATATTTTTATATTATTTTAAATTAATTTATCATTTTTTTTATTTTATTGATATCTTTTTATTTCATTATTATCTATATTTTCTTAAATATTTGAAGTATCATCTTTATTTTTTTCTATTGATTTTTAATTAATAATTCTTTCAGAAAGTACTTCATTTTAATAATTATTTTTTTGTATATAAACTGTTTAACTTTTAAATTAACATTAAAGTATTTAACTATAATAACAATTAGGGCAAGTACTCCAAGATTTAGATATTTATGAATTACAATTATTACAATTTGTTGAATATTTATTCATTTTTTTATTTATCTTAGCAAATATTAAAAAATATAATATATTTTTTAATAAATTTATTTATTATATTATATATTATATATTATATTAAAAGAAAATAATAGTACTTTTATTTAAATTAAACAAAAATTAGAATTTTAAATTTTTTAAAAAAATATATATTATAAAACTTTAAGTCTATTTATATAAAAAATTTATTTTTAAAAACTAATAATTTTATTTTTAATAAAAAAAAAAAAATAATATATATATATATTATTATAACAAAAATTATTTTTTATATATATTGTTTAAATTTTTTTAAATTATTATAATTTTCATAACTTAAAAAAAAAAAAAAAAATACAAAAGCAAATTTTAAAACAAAACAAAAAAATGAACAAAACAAAATTGGAAATAAAATTAAATTAAAATAAGCAACAACCAAAATTAAGTTAATAAAGTTAAACCTCTTATTTGAATAAAATAAAACCCGATTCTATAATAAGAGCAAGTTTAAATAATTTCAAGCAAGAAAAGTCTTTATAGCAAATAAAGCAATATCCTTAAAAATTTACGAAAAAAAGTTCATTAACAGTTCCAACAGAAATAACAAAGATATAATCATAAACATTTCAAAATTTTCCTCTGAAAATCCATTCTCCTCCATTTTATTCTGAAATTAATATACAGTAATTAATTGCAAGCAACAAGCCTTCATAAAACGAAAACTAGTCTTTAAATAAAACAAAAAACAATTTAGACTAATCAGTATTTCTATAAAAGATAAGCACTCCAAAGTAACAATTATTAAAAAAAATAACAAAAAAAAATAACAAAAAAGTTCTCAAACACCAATAAATGAAAAATTTTTAAAAGAAAGTTTTCTTGAAAAATCAAATAAAAAATCGTTTTTATAAAATACTTCGAAATCTCCAATAATAGAGTCAAAAAAGCCCTTACAAATAAAAAAAGTTGACTCAAATTAATTAGAAGTTTATTTTAACAAAAAGTATGATTCAAACGAAGATTTCTCATAAGTAAAAGATTATGTAGAAAACGAAAAAAAAACACCACTTCATTTCCATAATTCAGACAATAATTTCCAAAACTGCCTTTAATAATACAAAAACGTAACAAATACAAGCACTAATAAAAATTTAAATAAAGTATATTTAAAATATTCAAATACACAGAAATAAATAAATCTAATGTAATCACCAAATTCAACTTATTCTAATTTTTAGAAAAAAAACTCTTTTTTAAACCCAAGTGAAAATAATAGATATTCAAATTTATAAAATTCAATATGTAATATAAATAATTCCCAATAAAATCCTGATAATACCTTTAATTTTGAAAATAAATAGACTAATAGTTTCTTTAATAAAAATAATAATAATAATAATGTAAATATTTCTTGTGAATAAAAAAACTGTAATAATTCATATTTTTCAACTTATTCATAAACCTAGTAATAATTCTATGGTTATGATAGAAATATATTAAATTTAACAAATAATTTAAATATATAAAATCAAACAATATACCTTTTTGAACCTGAAAATGCAAATAATTTGCCAAAAACAACAATCAATCCAAATCCTTCTTACAATTTTACTGATTTTACAGAAACTTTAAATAGTATTTAATAGACATTTAACTCTCAATAAGCTAAGAAAAATCCTAATTTTAACCATAATTATTTATCACCAAAAAACAACACTTAAATTAATAATCCCAAAACTTTGAAAAAAGACAACTGTTTACCTTCAAACATATAATAATTCGAATCTAAGATATGTATTTTAAAGGCTTTTGAATAATCTAATTCTGAAAAAGATATAACTATTCCTTCTTAAAAAGTTTAATTTTCAAAAACAAATATTAATAACTAATATAACTTTTCCTTTTCAAATATTTTAAAAGACCAAAAACAATAATCTTCAGAAAAATCAAAAGACAAGCAAAAATAATAAGAATGTTCAGAAGTGCTAAAAAGCCGATTTCAACAAATAGTGCATTATGAAGAATTTCCATATTCATTTATTAATACAAATATATGGAAAATATAAAATTTTTAGATAGGAAAATGTTTAGGAAGAGGTCGTTTTGGAAGTGTATATTTATCAAGGTAATTTTTTTAAACAAAAAAATAAAATAAAAAAAAGATAAAATATAAAAAAGACATAAACCTACAAATATGCTTTTGGCAATAAAACAAATAAGTAAAAAAAATATAATATAAAGTGGAATGGAAAAACAACTATAATAAGAAATAAAAATACAGTCTTTCTTAACCCATCCTAATATATTAAAAATGTATGGTTTTTTTAGTGATGAGACAAATGTGTATTTATTATTAGAATTATCATCTCATGGAAATATATAAAAAGAAATAAAAAACTAAAAAGTTTTAGATGAATAAAAAGCGGCTATTTATATCCGCTAAATTTGCGAAGGATTAACATTTTGCCATTAATAAGGAATTATACATAGGGATGTTAAACCTGAAAATATTCTTAATTGTTTCAGAGTTCTAAAAATAAGTGATTTTGGATGGTCAATTTATACTGAAGAAAAAAGGATGACTTTTTGCGGAACTTTAGATTATGTTTCGCCTGAAGTTGTATAAGGAAAAGATTATGATTTCAAGGTTGATGTATGGAGTATTGGAATTTTAACCTATGAAATGCTTGTGGGTATTATTTATATTTATGACAATAATTAATTATTTTATTATTTAAAGGTAAACCTCCTTTTGAAAATTATGGATAATAAAATTCAATAAATAATTCATTTTTTAATGTTAATAATTATTTTTAATATTTTTATTTTAATTTATTTAATTTTAAAAAGTATGATATGCCATTCTATTTAAGTTATGAATCTTAAGATTTTATAAAATAATTACTAGTCGAAGATCCTAATAAAAGAATTTCAATAGAAGATGTGCTTAAACATTAATGGATTATTAAAAATACGAATAATTGTTTACAAGATTGGGATAGAAATGTAAGTGAATAATGCTTAAATATTTTTAAATGAAGCCTTTTCTTCACAAGAAAATTAATATATTATGTATATTATTATTATTAATATAAAAGTTTTAAATAGGTGTTAATTATGTAATATAGTTAATACAGGATTTTCCAAATAATAAAAAAAACATGTAGGAAAAAAAATATATATAAATATATATTGATATATATATATTAATTTAAATATTCTTTTATATATATATTTTTCTTATATATTTTTATAATAATTTAGATATTTATATAAACATTTAATTTATTTTTTATTTTTAATTATATATTTTTATTTTTTATTTATATATTTATAATTATATTTTTTATTTTTATTTCAAAATAAAAATATTTTAATTAAAATATAAATAATACAAAAAATACCATACATTTTCCAAATATTTATACTTTATTGAATATAAAAGTATCAACAAATCAAATATTTAAGTATTTAATAATAAATATATTAATAAATATATTAATAAATATATTATATATATACATATATAAATAGATATAAAATTACATAATTAAAATATAATTATTATTATTATTTTTGTATACACCTTATATTTTATAATAACATCAAGAATAATAAATTTTTTAATCCGAAATGAACCTCAAAAAAGTGTGTACCTATTTGATGTTCTATTCGGATTTTTTTTTACATCACATTTCCAAACTTTTCTTAATCATATCTGATGTTGAAAAGAAAATACTTTCTATATACAAAACCTAACCATTTAAAATTTTTGAAGATGCAGATTTAAAGCTTTAACTTTTTAATTTTAAAATGATTGCTATAATTAAAAATCATATTGTATATTTCTCCTTTATCGATAAAAGTGATTCTGAAATTATTTAATGTAACATTATTATTGAAACTTAGAGAGGACCTTTCTAAGATAATAATTGTAATGGATAATTTACTTCTTAAAATATTACTTAATTAAAGTTATGTTTGGAATTATATACAACATCATTGTAAACAGACTACTTATAAAATAGACTCATTAAAAAGTCGTTTTGTCTGTATCGGAGATATGAATATATGAATTTTTAATAAATGAGGTATTGAAGGTTTATATTATATTAATAATCTAATTTTATATGAAGTTTTATATTTAAATGAATTCTAAAATAATTATTATATTTATTATTATATATATATATATATATATATATATATATATATATTTTATTATTTTTTTCATTTTTTATTTATTCTTTTTTTATTTCTTTCTTCTATATTTCTTATTTTTGCGAAATATTCGTGGTTTAAAGAATCTTCAGCAGTTATTCTATTTATCTTTATTTTTTATTTTGTTAATATATTATATAATGGTATAAATACAGGATTAACATGTAGCATTTAGCTTATTAAGTCTATAGCTTGTTCTGTTAAATAGTTTTTTTTATAAAACTAATATTATTTTTAATCAAATTTGAAAACTTTTTAACTAATTTTAGTGAACTATATATATTTAAAATATATTAAATATATTTTACTTATAATTTATATTATTATAATTGGTAGAGTTCATATTTATATTTAATAAAGACGATAACTTTTGAAATTCTTTAAAGCCAAAAAAATTTATTTACTATTTTAAAATCTAAGAATGATCAAATCCATTAAATAGATGTTCTCCTTTAAAAATCTTACCCAAAACATAATAAATAAAATTTATTTTTATTAATAAAAAAACCATTGTTTGTATACAGATTCCAGCAGCCCATATATCAATTGCAGTCGTAAAATGCTAAAAAAAATTATTATTTAAAATTTATTCAGGCGGTTAGTAAGTAATAGTGCCACCCTTTTAGATATTTAAATCAAAATAAATTGATTAAAATAACTTTATTAGATCTTATTTCATAAGGCAAATAAAATGAGGAAATACCCCAGTCTACTAAGTTAAAAAATTTATAATAAGGCTCAATCATAATATTATTTAGTTTGATATCTTTATGAATAATATTTTTTTTTTTATGAGTTTATACTAAAACCTAAATATTATATTTGATATTTTATCTTTTTATTTTTATAGATACTTTTAATAATTTATAAGAATATAATTGAATATCAAGTTCAGAAAATTATTTTACAATATCACCTATATTTTTTCCTCTAGTAAATTCTAAAACCTGTTTAAAAAAATAATTTATATATATATATATATATATATATATATATATATATATATATATATATATATAATACAATGGCATTTTCTTTTCTTTTTTTATCCCTAACTATTTCTATTAATTGAGGTGTATCATATATATCTTATATTTGCCTTAAAATTTTAACTTCTCTTTATAAATCTCTTTTTGAAAATCTTTCTTTGAATTTTTTAAGGGCAACTGTTTTGTTACTTCGTATATCCCTACTATAGTAAACTGTTGAATATGTTCCTGATCCTATATATTCTAATAATTGATAATTTTCTATTTCCCTATTTCACATAACAAAAAAATTATATATAAATTATATTTTTAAGCATATTAACCCAAATTTCAATTTATTTTTAGATTCGTTTTTAAATTAAGTATATATTTAATATATTTCGGTATGATTTGTATTATTTAAAATAATATAATTTAATATAGATGGCTGATTATAACATTTAAAACTTAAAAGATATTAATAACAAGTCATCTTAGTTTAATTAAATTTGCCATTTATGAATATAAGAAAATAAAATATTAAAATTAATTAAATCATTTTTTATAAATAATATAAAATAAAAGATTTTTTATTTTAATAGAATTAAAACTTTTATTAGAAATTTTAATTAAAATAATAAATAAATATTTATAAAATAATAAATACTTTTATATATAAAAAATTAAATAAAATAAAATAAAATACAATAAAATATAATATAATAATAATTATAATATATATATAGACTTTCTTATATTTTATTATATATAATAAATATATACTAAATCATTAAAAAGTTTATAATTTTTAGAAAAAGTTAATTTCTTTTTCTTCAAAAATTAGATTTTTTCCTGTAATAAACATTTGTCTAAGCTATTGATCCAGTTTTACTTAGTAGCGTTCCAGGTTTTATCTTTATCTGATAAATAGAAGTAATTTCCATTAGAATTATTATTTACAAGAGTTTTAAAGAATTATTCCTCTATATTTTTATCCAATTCCTATTTTTTAAGGTTTAAACATTCTATGGGAAGTATATTATTTTGAAAGCGAGTGATTTTTGATAAGTTTACTTTAGAAAAATGTAGCTTGAGTATTTTTAAAGAACTAATTATTGGATAATAAATAATTCATATATTTTCTAATTTAATCAGCCTCTTTTTGAAATAAAGGAATATTGTTTTCATATTTAATTTATTAAACGAATGTTTTGTCTATTTTTTCCTAATTAATTTATAATTTATGAATTTCTAATTTTTATCTTTTCGGAGATTTTATAATTATTTTTAATTTTGGAGTCAAATTCATTTATTTATTATTGTTTTAAAATAAATAATTATTTATTTTATTTATATTATTATATATTTATAATATTACTAAAGTATTTTATTAAAAAATAATGAATTAAGGAAATATTCAAATATAATTTGGAGATTATAATGAAGAAATCGAAAATACCTTAAAATTGAAGGAAATTTATAATTCTTTAGTAAGGAAAAAGCTATATTTTATAAGAAGAAAAGAACGAATTTTAAAATCAATTTAGCATTGTCATTAATCCTATAAATAATGAAGAAAAAATAATATAATTGTTGTAAAAAATATCTAAAACATATTCTATTTTTAAAAATTCAAAAATAATTTTAAATAAAGAGAAATAAATTTTGTTCAATTTTGAATGTATTGATGATATTTTGATTATTTATAAAGAAATTTAAAATAAATTTTTTAATAAAGGAGATAGTACAGCTCATTTCTCATTTAAAAGTAATAATAATTTTAATTAATATGACTAAAATAATAAATATTTTTTACTTTTTTTACTCAATTCATTATTTATATCAATTAATATTGAAAGCTTTTCTCTAAAAGTAAATTAAATTCTTATTTTTATAAAGAACTTATTTGGTTTAAATGATAATTATGAAAAAATTTTTAAAAAAATAAATTAATTTGATATAAAGTTAAATTTTAAAAAATTGGAAAAATTAGAAATAAAAAATGAATTTTTAAATTACTTTGAAAAAATAAAAGATGAAATAACAGAAGAATAACAAGTATTGATATAAGATATTATAAAAGAAATAAAATAAGAAATATAAATAAAGCAATTTTAAAAGATATAAATTTTAAAGGAAATATAAATATTTTTATATAAAAATATGATAATAATATAAATATGTGAATAAAAAAATATATAAAATATATATATATATATAAATATTATATATATATATATATATTTATATATTTATATATTTATATATTTATATATTTTATTTTTATTTATATTTACTAAAATTATTTTATATTTATTCGGTATTTATCCATTTTTTTTAATCAATATTTTTTTATCAATATATTATATAAATCGTATTCCATTATAAATAGATATCAATTTTTTTCATTTTTTATATTTATAATTTCTGATGTTTATTCTTTTTTAATAATTATTTAATCATCATTAAAACATTTATTTTTTCTAATAAATCATCTATAATCTGATTTCTTTTTACTTTTTTCTTTAATCTTATATTATAAATATTAATGCCATATTTATTGGAATACAAAATACCCCTGTCCAAAAAGAAACTCCAAATTATTTTACATTAAAAACTATAAATTTGTTTTAGTCTGCATACTAAGAATATAAAATAGCTACAAAATATAAACAAAATCCACAAAAATAATAAAATATAATCAATAAATGCAATAAAAAAGAACTTATTTTCGATTTTAAGTTATTTGTTTTTTTTAATTAAATAATCCTATATAAATCCACACTTTATAAGATTAAACCTATCATAAATAAAATAAAAGTTATATAACCAATTATTTAAAGCTAAACT